TCCATGTACTGACCAGGTCACAGAGGTTTGGATTCCCTGTTCCATGTGTCACAGAGGTTTGGATTCCCTGTTCCATGTACTGGCCAGGTCACAGAGGTTTGCACTCCCTGTTTCATGTACTGGCCAGGTCACAGAGGTTGCATTCCCTGCTCCATGTACTGGCCAGGTCACAGAGGTTGCATTCCCTGTTCCATGTACTGACCAGGTCACAGAGGTTTGCACTCCCTGTTCCATGAACTGGTCAGGTCACAGAAATTGGATTCCCTGCTCCATGTACTGGCCAGGTCACAGAGGTCTGGATTCCCTGTTCCACGTATCTCACATGGGCTGGACTCCCAGAAGCAGCTGCTCCAGTACGTAACTCAAGCCCCTCACCCAAGTGTGTGTCCAGAGCCCCTCCCTTCACCTGCAGCCAGCGAACCCACCTGGTAGTAGCCGCCGGGCTCTCCGTAGGCAGGGGGGAACTGACCGTAGGGGTGGCTGCCGTAGTCCTCGCCGGGTTTGGGTGCCCAGCTGTGCTGAGCCCCGCTCGAGCCCGCGCCCGTCTTGAACTCCAGAGGGGCGTTGGCGGCCGCGTCCTGGAACTGGGGCTCCGGCTCTGTGCCGGGCGGTGGGTCCTCCGCGCCCACCGTGCCGGGGTACAGGTAGGGCTCGGCGCCCGCGGCGCTGGGCTCGCTCCTGTCGGACAAGGAGAAGTAGTTCTCTGGCTCCAGCTCCTCGTCGCTGTCCTCCTCCTCCTGCGTGATCTGCTTGGTTACCTGCAGCGCCGCGCTCTTGGCCGCGGCTTTGATGGCCGACGGGGACGGAGTGGTGGGCACGGCCGGCTTGGACGCGGGTTTGGCTTTGGAGGAGGAAGAGGTCGGGGCCTTGGCAGGCTTGGAGTCGGAGTTCTCTCCCGCCTTCCTGGAGAAGGCGTAGGGCAGCAGTAACCGGTTGGTCTCTTTCACTGTCAGATTTTTGGGCTGAGGAAGCAGAGCGGACAAGCCGGAGCCCTCGCCGCGTCCCTGGGGAGATCCGTGCGGGACAGGTGGATCACAGGAATAAGAGAAAAGAGTGAGACTATTTACTTTTCCTGATTACTTGCTAATTATCCCCCCCAATTCTTGCAACACTCCTGGGTTTCCCAACACTTGGCCACCGTGAACACGCTGCACAAAAGGCCAGGGGCACTTTGAAGGGAAACGTATCTGTCCAATTCCCAAATTGATGCCTCTTTCTCCGAGATTTAAGTTGCCCAAAAAAGGGACTTGACACCCCACAGGATTTCAGGAATATCCCCAAAGCCATGGGCTGATCAGAGTGGCTGATTCACATGAGTGGAAGGCCAAGACTGGTCACACTCAAACGCTTTTCCCCGTGACACTTGTTCAATCGAGCGCCCTCGGTATTTACCTGAAGAGTATTTTTCTTCTTTGCTGGTTCATCTTCCTCTGAATCTGACTGAGAGAGAAAACCAGAGCTCAGCAAAACCTGAGATACTAAACTAAAAAAGTACTATTAATAAATCCCAGGAAAATAAATCCAAAGGAAGAACTCCAGGGGCACAGCAGCAGGTCAGGGCTCTCCTTCAGAGGGACAGATAACAACGGAATTACTGAAGCACAAATCACACAAAGGGTGTAAAATTCACTGCAGGGACACAGGGAGTTATTCCCAATAACATTGGAACTGCTAAATATCCAGTTAAAATTTGAGTGAAAAGCCTGGTTGGCATCAGAAAAGGCCCTCAATATCTTTATGGCTTCATGGCTTCACAGAGGACTTGGAAGAGGCAACAGGAATCAAGTGCTTGTGCCAGTTTATCCCCAAATCATAAACCAAGGAAAGACAATGTGTGTAAATAAAAGGAGTCAGGAGAGACCATAAACCCACGTGTTGGTTTGGGAGAGAGGAGACACTGCAGCCGCCCTGGAGCATCTCCATGGGATGAACTACAGGGATGGGAGGGATTTTACGGAGAAAGAGGGATGTTAGTCACAGGCCCAGGGACTTCTAGGAATCCCAAGCTCCAGTTTAAGGTACATTCCCTTCAGTGTTCATTCACTCATTTGACATCAATGACCTCTGGGACTTGTGGTCAGAGCCCACACACCAGAGCATGGAGTACAGGAAGAACAAATCCCAGTTCATTCCAGCTGCCTGGAATCACACCACAGAGCTGCAAGGAGGTGAGTAAGCAAGAAGAGGGTATGAAGGACCGGTATATCCCTCATCCCTCTGCCCCAAAGGCTGAGCTCTGTGTCCCACTGTCCAGTGTGCCTCTGGCAGCCACAGCACGGGGAGCTCTGGCTCTGGAATTTGCCAGACTGGGATGGTTATTGGGAGCAGAGTGTGGTTCAGGGAAGGCTGGGGAGCCCGTGTCCTCCCCCCTCTCCCTGGGACCCCGCAGACTCTCCCAGCAAAGCAACAATGCTGATTTTATCTGGGCTCCCCCAAGGTTCTGCCAGACCACTGTTAGTGGATGTTGTTTATAAATGCAAAGTCAAACCTCTTCCTCAAGGCACCTATCCCCAGGGAAATGACTCCAAGCTTCCAGTTCAGCTCTTCCTACAGCCACAGGTGCTCCTGTCACACCAGAACCAGCGACACCACTGTCACCCCTGCGTGAGGTTGGACAGGACTCTGGGCAACCTGGGCTAGTGGAAGGTGGCCCTGCCCGTGGCAGCCGGTGGGATGGGATGAGCTTTAAGGTCCCTTCCAACCTAAACCACTTCGGGATTCCATGTGCTGGTTTAGATTAGGAAATTGGGAAGAAATTCTTGGCTGCCAGGGTGGTGAGGCCCTGGCACAGGTTGCCCAGAGAAGCTGTGGCTGCCCCATCCCTGGAGGTGTGTTCCCAGGTCGGATGAGGCTCTGGGCAACCTGGTCTAATGGAAGGTGGCCCTGCCCATGGCAGAGGGTGGAACTGGGTGAACTTTAAGGCCCCTTCCAGCTCAAACCATTTCAGGCTTCTATGACAGTGCTGTCCCAGAGGGAATGAGCAGAAGGGAGAGGATGGAACCTGATCAACGGGAACCCTGAGACAAAAAACAGGTGGGCAGGGACCTGCCTTTCCCTGCTCTCATTGTCTGGATTCAGGAGCCCCGTAAGGCACAGGGCACCGTAAACACCAAAAAAGCACAAGCTGAGAGGCAAAAGGTCACCTAAAAGTCTAGAAGTTGCCTGATGCCTTTAGATAAATAAGCAATAAATTGACAGGAAAACCTATCAACTGCACAGGAGGCAAGAGAGACTTTTTGGGGCTACAAGGCCCTGCAGCTCCACACCATCAACTCGTTAACTCCAGAAGTAAAGAAGGGTGCAGATAATCTGGGTTTTGCTGCATTATGATTATAAATAAGGTTTCTATATCAGTTTAATTCTGCAAAGCGCTTTAGGATTAGGGCAGGCAGCCAGGACAACCTTCCCCGTGGACGCCACAACAATAGATCTCGGTGTGTTACGGTGGGAGAGAGCGAGGGAAAGAGACCCACGGGCGGGGGAGGGAGGTCTGACCCCCGAAGGGCTCGAGCGGCGGTGGGGGGTTCTCTCCATACTCACATCTCCCTTCTGCAGCTCGGGCGCCGCGATCCGCACCGGCTCCGTCCTCTTCTTTGGCTTGGGGAGGCCCAAACCCGCGCCGGGGGCGGCCGGGCCGGGCGGGCCGAGGGGGGAGGCGGCGGCCGCCGCGTTCCTGGGGGGCGGCAGGAGGAGGCCCCTCGGCCTGGGGGGCTCCGCGGCCCCGTCCCCGCTGTCGGCCGGCTCGGGGGGGCTCTCAGCCCCGGCCTGGCCCGGCGAGGCGCTGGCGAAGCCCCTCACGGCGGGCGGGGGGCCCATGAGGAACGGCGGGGGCACCGCGGGGGCTCTGGGCGGGGGCAGCGCGGCGAAAAGCCCCCCCTGGGCCGGGGGCTGCTCTTCTGCGGCCGGAGGGGAAGCGGGAGCTTCCTCCTCCTCGGCCGCGGGCTCTTCCGCATCGCTGTCCTCCTCGCTGCTGGCGTAGGCCACGAGGGACATGGCCCCGGGGAGGGCGGCTCTCGGCGGGCAGCAGCCGCTACGCGAGGCCGGGGATCCGCCCCTCCGCGCTAGGCCGCGCCGCCGCCGCGCCTTCAGCGCCCGCGGCGGGGAGGAAGGGGCGGGCTGAGGGGAGGCTACGCCGCCATGGCGGCCCCTCTCCGTGCCGGCGGCGGAGCCGCGGAGCTCGGCGAGACGGCGGCGGCGGCTCCGCGCTCCCCGGTAATGGCTGCCGGCAGCGCCCCGCTACCCGCGCCGCGCCGCCGCCGGACTACAACTCCCGGCGTGCTCCGCGCGCGGCGCCCTGCCCGCCTCCCGGGTGGCCCCCGCCGCGAGGCACCACGGGAAATGTAGTCCGCGGTGCCACGCGGCAGGCCCCCCGGGTGGGACCGGGAGCGGGACCGGAGGAGGGGGATGCGGGAAGACCCCGGGGGGACGAGACGCGACAGGGATGGGGACGGGGACAGGGACGAGGATGAGGAGGCGGGAGGGCTCGGCCCGCCCCGCCCCGGCCAGGCCGCGCAGTTCATCGCCAAACTGCGGCTCCCGGTGTGTCCCCAGCGCCCGGCGCGGTGTCAGACACGGAGGGGCTGAGAGGCTCTTCCTTCCTCCCATCCTTTCACCCCGGTGTAATTCTGGGGTAGGATCAGGCCTGCAAGGCCCCGCTGGAGGCTGCTGGAGCGGGATGCTGGAGCGGGATGCGGGAGCCCCCGGCCGGGATTCCCGAGCAGCCGGTTTATCCCTCCAGCGCCCCGCTGACTTGCGGTTTGACTCCTTTGACCTCCTTCTAGCTTGTTCTGGCCTTAATAAGAAGCGAGCTGGGCTCGAATTTGGGTCCCCAACACCCAGGGAAGTGATTTGCAGAGGCACTGCACAAATAATTAAAGCAAAATGGAGATAAACGAGGAGTGTATCCTGAACCCTCTGTCATTTGGAATGGTGTGAAATCCAGCCAACGCGCCCTGTGCCACCCCTCCTGCCCTGCTCCGGAGGGCTGAGGAGTGTTAAAAATACAGTATTAAAAATAGGCACGGAGGCCTCAGGGAGCGGGAGGGATGGGCATGGGAGGCTGCAGGGAGCTGGGACACAGGAGTTACGTTTTCCCCCACTCTTTACATGGCCGAGACCCGCCAGGGCAAAGCCAAGCGATCCCAGCACAAGGACACTGAGGAGGAAGAGGAGGAGGCAGGGCTGGGCTGGCTCTCAAAAGGTCCCATCTGCACCAGCCTGTCTTCAGGAACCCTTTTCCCTGGAAATGTGGGTTCCATGACCACCAGAAACAGGGAGACGTTTCCTTGGCTGTGACACGTGTGTGGCCACTTGTAGGGTGAACTCCTCGTCACAGGGGTCTGAACCCCAAAGTGTGTCATGGAGGTGTCCAAGCCCTTTCCCTTCACAGCTCTGCCCACCCACTCTCCAAATCCAATGGAAACTGGGACACAGAGGGGGATTTTTGTGGGATTTTTATGGATCAGGCCCCCTGTTGCTGCCACTTCCCCAGCAAAACATCCCTTGGGCTCATATAGAGTCATATTTTGGGCTGGAAGTGACCTTAAAGACTGTCCATTTCCAACCCTCCTGCCATCCTAAGGATGAGTTAGGATCTCCCCCGTGGATTTTTTTTTCCCCACTCCTTCCTAAACCCCTGGATTTGTGAATTTTTAGGGTTTAGGAAAGGGAAACAGGCAATTCCTCGAGAAGCACAGAGTGGTTCCACCACCCCGAGCTGCGATGCGAGGCCACCCTCGTCCTCTGCCAAGGAAAATCAACAAGGACCCTGTTGGGGAGAGGAGGGACCCAGTTTAAACAAGGTCCAGCTCCTGCTGCGCAGAAGGAGGGAGGAATCCTTGTTTCCCTCGGCATTTGTCCATTTTTCTGTTGAAAGTGGAGATTCCTCAGGCCTGGTCTCACCCCGGGCAGCAGGATCCTGCTGTCAGCTGTGACCCTGAGGATTATTTATTTGTGTTACTTTTGCAGCTCGTTAGGAGAAATTAAGCCAAGGAAAGCACACAGGGATGGAAGGAAAGGAGCCCAGCCCTGGAACCCTGACTGCCAGGTCAGGGTGGAGGTTCTGATCTTGGAAAGGGCGTAATCAGTGTTTCATTTAATCCCAGGTGTTTGGTTCCATGCGGCCTGAGCAATCCTGGGATCTCCAACACCTCTGGAGGACAGGGGGTTTCTAAGGAAAAACACTTGGGGGCCCTGGGTGGGCACCAAATGCTCCCAATTCTTGATTTTCTCCTTTTTTTTTAAAGGTTGGCCACTGGGTTTACACTGGTTTTGCAGTGTTTTATAAGAGTTTTGCACTGTTATACATGGGTTTAGACCAGTTTTTCACTGTTTTACGTGGTCTTACACCAGTTTTGCACCAGTTAAATGTGGGTTTACACCAGTTTTGTACTGTCTTGCACCGCTTTTGCACTGTTTTGCACCAGTTTTACACCACTTTTACACTGTTTTACATGACTTTACATTGTTTTACACCACTTTTTCACTGTTTTACATGATTTTACACCCGTTTTGTACTGGTTTATGCCAGTTTTGCACTGTTTTACATGGTTTTGCACCGTTGTTGTGATGTTTTACACTGGGTTTGCACTGTCTTACATTGGTTTTGCACAGTTTTACACTGTTTTTGCAGACTTACATGGTTTCACACTGGTTTTGTGCTGTTTTACACCAGTTTTGCATCATTTTGCACCATTACACGCCAATTTTGCACCAGTTTTACATGGGTTTACACCAATTTTTTACTATTTTACACCATTTTTGCACTCTTTTAGGTAGTTTTACACCTGTTTTGCACTGGTTTTGCACTGTTTTACACCAGTTTTTCACTGTTTTATGATTTTACATCATTTTTATTAATTTACACCAGTTTTGCACTGTTCAACATGGTTTTGCACTATTTTGCACTATTTAACATTGATTTTGCATGGGTTTACACCAGTTTTGCACTGTTGTACACCAGTCTTATACCAAGTTTGCATTGTTTTCCATTGATTTTGCACGGGTTTACACTAATTATGCACTGTTTTACATAGATTTTGCAGGGGTTTACACCAGTTTTTGCGCGAGTTTGTACCAATTTTGCACTGTTTTCCATTGATTTTACATGGATTTACACCAGTTTTGCACTGTTTTACACCAATATTACACCAATTTTGCACTGTTTTACATAGATTTTGCAGGGGTTTACACCAGCTTTTGCACGAGTTTATACCAATTTTGCACTGTTTTCCACTGATTTTACACAGGTTTACACCAGTTTTGCACTATTTTACACCAGTTTTACACCAGTTTTGCACTGTTTTATATTGATTTTACATGGGTTTACATCCGTTTTTCCAGGGGTTTATACCAATTTTGCAGTTTTCCACTGATTTTACACAGGTTTACACCAGTTTTGCACCCTTTCACACCAGTTTTACATTGATTTTGCACTGTTTTACATAGATTTTGCACTGTTTCACATTAATTTTGCAGTTTCACATTGATTTTACACAGGTTTACACTAATTATGCACTGTTTTACACCCGTTTTTGCAGGGGTTTACACCAGTTTTTGCAGGGGTTTATACCAATTTTGCAGTTTTCCACTGATTTTACACAGGTTTACACCAGTTTTGCACCGTTTCACACCAGTTTTACATTGATTTTGCACTGTTTTACATAGATTTTGCACGGGTTTACACCAGCTTTTGCACGAGTTTATACCAATTTTGCACTGTTTTCCATTGATTTTCCACGAGTTT